TGTAGCAACTAAAACGGGTCATTCTGTATGATATTCGTAAATTCCAAGTCAGGCGTCATTCGCGTTTGAATTTCGAGAGCCTTGTGGGTGAAGAGTATCGGCGTCACTTTTAAAAACCAAACTGAGTACCGGAACGGCATCTTTTGATATGTGAGTGGAAACTTGCCAACTGACGATCTGAGTTGGTCACATGACGAAGCGATCACTTTCTCAACTCACGCGACCCGTTACACTTATATCACTTTTCAAAATCTCTGGACTACAATGAAGTGGAACACAGGTTCGCTCGGTTATCTACGTTGTGTCTGTGTGTGTATTCCCAGATGTTAGATTGCTTCACAGTGGTGCGTGAAAACTAAACTAATTCTGCTAGTTTTCAGCATGCTTGTTATCCCTATGCCTTGAATACACGTCCTCTGATTCACATTTTCTAACCAATTCTTGGAAAATCCATCTCGAATGATAAAAACGAACCACTTGTGAAAATTACCGGTCCCTGATGTGAGAAAGAGGAAATTCATTTTCCGTTTGGTGAGCAACCACGAGGAAAATAAATCGACGCTAACCGGAACGAGTTCTGACAGCATCGTTTACGGTGGTCATGTGAACAACCATGTGAATTTTGGCGTTTGATCGGTAGAAGTTTCGATCTAGTGACCTCTATGGGAAACAACTCGCTGAACAGCTTTTTTTATTTCGCTTTGAATCTAGGTTGCTTTAGACCCTTGTTTTCAAACGAAATTCTCTCCTTTGTAAGAAAAATCATATTATTGTGGACAGCATCTGTTAAAATGCATCCTGATATATACAATGCATAACTTTAGGTTTCTAATAATCCGGTGTAACGAGAAAGCCCATGAAGACAATATACTTACAGGTATCCGAACTCTGTTCTTCGCCAAACGATGTCACTTTGTCCGTACAAGAACAAACTTCAGGTACAGTACCGTAGAACAATAACCATAGAGACCAGTTAAAAAGAACGATACATATCTGCTTGTATTTTGTTGATAAAGTGTCCATTTTACTTAGAATGAACAATTCTCGCTTATAACCACAGAAATTCAGACTTCCCAGCCGTTGTGTGTTCATAGCTGACAAGCTCATCAACAACCCATACTTACATAACTTCTTCCTCAACAGTATATTAGTTTGAGCTTCTGTTGTCACACTGTAAATGGACAACAGCCTACCCTGTAAGCCCGCCATGAAGAGGGGTAACGAATAACTCGTTTGCTCTCATAGGCCATAAATCAACCGCTTCAGTCATAGACTACAAACAATCAATCATCAAGGTGGACGCCAGCCTAATCAACACTGACATCCACAGAGAGTCATAGAGTGAAAAATGTTGAGTTTCTGCAGCGTCCACATATATCCCATCGAACCAGACTATCCATTCATTTTCCTCAAGAAAACTAAGGAACATAAACGCTGAAAGCCCTTAGGTGGCACGTGACCGGTTTTGTTTTTCTTGGAGTTCATCAAGTAGTCACAGTCCACGAGTTCCTGTCATCTTTACGTATTTTCAGAACCCAAACTGCACAAAATATGCGAAGTAACCTCATCTGCACAACACTACGGTTTCCACGGGAGACTAAACTGAATTACAGCTGAATCTCTCGTTTATCATATTTTTCAACTGAATATGCTGCATAAAGGCCGCCTCATGTTTCGGTTGGCACAATATTCGAGACGCCGCAGGATGTGTCCTGGACGAAACTGCTTGCAAGGTTTCTGGAAACTCTTCGACAGCCTATGATCGTTTTCAGCTTTCTTCCGGTTCATAGTTGACCTCACTCACCGAGATTCCTCTTAAAACAAGGTTTTTAGGCGGACAGTGTTGTTTGTAGATAAATAAATAAATATAAACCCATGACCAAAGTTGTGCTTTTTGAAACAGATCTTCCCAAAAATGGTTTTCCATGAGGCACTGATCCTTCCCGAGTTTCCCCTATGACCGTAGAAGTTACTCCACTGGTTAGGATTTTATCTGGGGATTTCATTTTGTAATTTGCCGCGTAAAAACGGGTTGGCTGAGACTAGGCAATCCAAAAGCATTCCGTAGTCTTTTATGCTTAAACAGGCATCGAATTACTTAGTATCAGCCGTTTCAACCGTGAAAACCTTGAGACTACTTTGGTCAAACAGTCTCCACCAACAAGTCGTTTCTCAAATATTTCAGATACTTTGCGACCATGTTTGTCGGTAGAGACAGAACAAAAGCTAAATACCTACAAAATTTTGTGTTTGGCTCTAAAAGAGGAGCACTTACACGACTTTCAAATGACTTGATTTTGCTCACCACGAACTGAAATTTATACAGGAAAAACGAAGTTGCCTCTCACTAAACAATGTCAACCCTACCCTAGTTTTGTGAGTGTACTCTGTCACAGACTTGAGAACCCCTACGTAATTTGACTGAGCACTACTACCTTTGTCTTTTCTGACAGAGGTCTTAGGGCCACATTAGTGTAGTCTCTCCAGATGGAAGTACTTTTAATCCAGCTACACTGAATATATTAGTGTTTTTACCCCCCACTTGATGAGGCATAGATGGATCATTTGGTCAATATCTGGTCTTTCTATCCGTGGAGCTGTTAGGTAAATTTCAAAACGGCGGTTTTTAAGCAGTTATCTCTTCTTTACTGGGTATTCATTCTCAAATGAAGCTAAGCTTCTGCGCACGTGATTGCCTCAGCTTGTTGAAATTGGTATCTTACGGATTACAATACTAGGTATTGCCCCTAAATGCGACTATTCACTTTCGCCCATACTGTTCTACAAATCGGACTAAGTTTGCAAGTCTATGAGGCTGAAATGGCGCGCAATGAGAGTTTATATTTTTTTGTTTTTCATCTTTCTTTTGTGTTATTATCACACTTATCTCCGACTTATTCATCGATTGCTATTGTGCCGACGATATGGTTATTCATGCAACACGTCTGAGTTTGAATCCACGGGCCACACTCAAAATACACACCAATTCGGGTGCTCCATATCCAAAAGTATCAAGATCTAGGATTCCCCTCGTACAGTTAAGACTATATAACCACCTGCTTGGCAGCTTTCTTTCACTTAGTGCTAACGAGGTCTGTATTCCAAGATCCTCCACAGAGAAACGCTTGGAAGAAGTATCCCAAGTAACCTCGAATACCTTTCTCATGCTATGCATAGTTTTAGAAAAATACAAAAACTCTCACACTCATGTTACGGATGTTAACAACTCTATCGCCCCCTACTTAGCTCAATACGTATTTAAAAGTACATTTTGACAGACATCCTAAGGCTACGGTTTCCAAGTTGATACCCAATATGTACTTCCTTCACTGTTCTTTCATTTGCTCTTCTAATTCAATCGTGATTTTCTTCTCCGGAGATTCACCACCAATCCCCTTTTGACTTTACGAAGCTTTTGACTACAGTAAGAAAGTAAGGGGGAAACAGGTATTTTTCTTGCTCTTGCAAGGGAACCCCCTAATTCTGGCATGTTGAACGTAGGTTTCACTCAGTGAAAAGAGAACTAATATTGTTTGGTGAAATGCCCGAAGTCCTTATTCTCAAAATCGATTCATCGCATTCTCCCACCTTACGCACAAGAACAAGAGAGGTTGAGCTCACCATTCCCCACTATTTCTACATCATCCGCAAGCTACTCATGAGTAGCCCAAAATGAACAAAATAGTCACATTCTCCTTTTGCTGTTGTCATCTTCGTAAGCAACTTCGAATCAAACTATGCAAGTTAAAATATGTACAACCATTCTATTAGTACTTGAGTTTACATATTCAATTTGGCGACATAACAATTATCCCAAGTGTTCAGTACTCGCTGTGACCTGGAGTGATGGTGTGCAGTATGGGCTAAAGGGAAACACCGCAAACGAGAGATTCACCTGGGTTCCAGCTGGGTCTCTCGAAAAACCAAATGAGTCTACAAATGAGTGTGTTTCGCCACTTACGTGCAATTTGGTTTCAAGTAGAACATCAGGTTGACGGAAACTCGGGGACTGCGTCTACCTGATGAGTCACAAGAAGGGCGATACCGTTCGTGGGCTGTCGAGGAGTTTCCAGCAACCTTATGAGTAGCGCATTACAAATATACATGTATCGCGATATCTCGAATGTTGTGGCAACTGAAACATGAGGCGGATCGGTGAAGTACAATCAGTTGCCCGGAAACATTACAAACAAGAGATTCTGCCTGGTTCTATGTGATAAAATTAACTTCAACGATTGCGCTAAGGTCTATATAGGACAAACTGTCAGGGAATTGCACGCCAGAATTGGTGAGCATAAAAGAAGGATTAACCAACCGCCAAGAAATGCAGAAGAGTACTAAACGCTGATCAAAGACTCAGCGATGGATGTACATACATTAGACGCGGTTCATAGAATAAATCTGGGGAATGTGGAAGTTATAAGTCGGGGACTGCGATTCACACCACAGCGGCTGATAGCCGAGGCGGTGAAAATTACTAAGCATCACAGTGTGAATAGAATCGAGGGTGTAGAGCCAGTGAGCGTATGGAAAGCGGTCTTAGATAAGCCAAGTTGACACGTGACGGTGTGGTTGTCAATCCACATAGAATCATCAGAAAAACTGTGGGGTCGGGGAGGGAAACCCCAACCGACCAAAGGTCACAGCTTCCCTCTTATACAACTATCTTAGCACTAGTTCACCCACACAGACTGACAGAAGGTTCAATCGAAGTTCAAGAGGAACCATCAAATGAACCAAACCAGAAGAACTAGACTGAACTAGACTAGGACTAGAATTAGACTAGAACTAGGCTGGACCCAAACAAATGTAGGTTTGCCAACCGACCCAACACTTGTCCAACCACTCCAACACACTAAAATCCCTCGACCGACACCCAACAGGGATTTAGCTTGACTTAGCTGATTGGTTCTCCTTCCGCCTTAAATCTCGACCAACCTCGGAACGTTGTCACATGGCCTGACGAAGCTTTTGTGTCAAAAGCGAAACGTTGCCCAGCAATGAATCTACCGATTGTTACCAAACTTTTGAAAACGATTGTGAATGAGGTATTTAAACTATATCCTAATGTATAGAATGAATTCTATTTGAGTGAACCCTATTTAATATCCGTTCTCCGAATCGACAATTGTTTATAAATTCTGTAATCATTTTTTGAAAAAGCTAATGGGAATTTCAGGAAGTTCAACTACTAAGAGTATAAAACACAGATCGCGGTACATAAAGTTGAGAAGGAGACAACGAGAAAAGACTAAACGCAACAGAACAAATCAACAGAGATGGCGACAGTGGTGGCAAAATATTAGTTGTGAGTATTATGAAGAGATCAAGAAGACGTAACTTTGCGAGATGGTAACAGAAAAAGTCCCAGTAAAAAAGAAGAATATCCAGCATCACACGGCCTCACGAACAACTTTCATTTATGGTCAGATGCAGGGTAAGCAGATGACCTGTTTTGAGTGCATATCGTCGGCCGTTATTAGGATATTCTTGGGTCGATCGGGGGTTCACGGCTGTTCATTACCGCCACCCAAACGAAGTTACAAGACAACCATGTTAACATTGGGGACTCAAAATAGGAAAGAGTTTTTAAAAGGTTTGCTAGAAAGCACTTTAATGTAAGTTAGAATGCCGCCCGAAATAACGGACAGTCAAAAGTTGCCACAACTCCTAAGCACCTCAATGAGGCGAAACTGCCCGATTTCAAAAACAATAATCGATATTTATGTGCAGATAATAAGTAGGCGGTTGTGGCGTTTTGTATCTTTCTTTTGATTCCATCATAACATGACGCATTTTGTCAATTGCATAACCGTTTTTTTGTTTTAATAAGAAAAACTACGAAAACGCGCACTTGTACAATTTCACGCAATGCAAAAGTGGTCACGTGCTTCGACTCGCGCTTACAGTGGCCATTCGCCCGTCTTATCTGCAAACTCTGGTATCAAAACATTTTAGACTATCTTTGGAATCTGTAGGTGAGAACTGTTCACAAGGAGACCCCTGGACAACCATTATTGGACCATCGTTTATTCGCTGACCTGGGACAACGACGAAGTATTTTAGAAAGAGCAATTATTAGTGAGTCTGTTTCACCTGACCCCTTTATTATTGCATACCAAATCTAGCGTTATTATTTCTACTTCTCGCCACACATTCCTGGTAAAGTAGCTTTCTGGGTAGCCAGACCACCACAAATTTGATGAGCCCAAGTCTTTCAAGATATTTTTAATTTTTGACTTCAAGCCGTCGTAATTTTTTCTTTTTCCTGGTCATTATGGATGCAACTTCCGATCCATCAGATTTAGTCGAGAATGCAATTAGAATCTGTTTACCAGAATATAATTTACGCAATCTCAAGGTGTGGTTTCACCAGGTCAAGGTTGTTTTTACTAGACGACGCATCACTTCTCAAGCCACCCGTTTTTCTTATGTCGTCCAGCATCTTCTTTAAGATGTGGCAACGGAAGTAGAAGATCTGTTGTAAGATATCCCCAAGGAAAATCTTTATGACATCCTCCGAGCGGCCGTCATCAGTATGACAGGCAAGTCCAAAAACAAGATACCACAGGATTTATTCACAAACAGTCGAACTTGGTGACAGGTCACCGTCACAACTGCCTCGCCATATGCGCAGTCTCCTGTGCGGCCATAAGCTGGCGGTGGTGATCATGGCACAACTGTGGCTCCATAAACTTCCACACTCCGTATCCTCCGTCACCAGTGCTTTCGTTAACTCCGTCTCCAGTCCCACACCGACTACATCCACAGATTCCGATCCAATACTTTCTGCCATTTCACAACCACAAACTAGATTTGATACATGGACCGGGCGCCTTCAACGGCTGGAGATCAACAAGCATCGACCACGTTCACGATCTCAATCATTGTCTGGTTCCCATCCTTCATGGTGTTGGTATCACCAATCTTTTGGTCCTACAGCACGCAAATACCAACCGCCTTTTTCCTTCAGGCTGCATTCTAACAGTCCTTTAGACACCCCGGCAGTCAGTAACGGCAACGACTCTCTGTGGTCCTCCTCGCACTATGCCACATCACCGATCGTCCAAGTGGTCTAGGTTTCCTCGTAGATATGGAAGCTAAAATTAGAGTGCTACCACACTTCCTGATTTCGCTTCTTACGTGTTGCAGGCTGCTCACTGTGCCCGCATCGCCACATACGGTGAGCGTTCCCTCGCCCTTGACCTCGAATTGCAACGTGCGTTCAAGTGGATTTACCTTTTGCCCGACGTCCAAACACCCATCAATGGCGCAGACTTCCTAACCCACTACAGCTTATCTGTTGGTGTGAGACACTAACGTCTCTTAGACGTGCCAACTTCCCTCTCAGTCAACGGAATTAGTGCCCCAACTTCACCCGCAGGTATCTGAGTTATCTTACCGGATTCACATTTTGCTGACATACTTAGGGATTTTCCAACCCTTACTCACCCATGTCAGTACACCCAACCGGTCACTCATTCCGTCGTTCACCACATCCAAACGAGAGGTCCACCTGTCCATACCAACCCCCCGCCGACTTCATCCGGATAAGATTACCGTTAATATTACCGTTACCGGATAAGGTTACCAGATTACCGTTCTCTCAATAACTCTACTATCCCAAACAGGTATCCCATCCCACATATCCACGATTTCGCAAGTACCCTATGCCACACAAACATCTCCAAACTCGATCTCGTACATGCATACTACCACACCCGTAGCCCCAGATGACATCCCCAAAACTGTCATCACAACACCGTTTGGCTTTTTCGAATTCACGCGTATGCCCTTTGGTCTTCGAAACGCAGCTCAAACGTTTCATGGACGAGGTTTTACGTGGCTTACCGTTTGTTTATGCCTATCTTGACGATGTTTTAGTCGCCAGCACCTCCCCAACTGAACATGCAGCTTATCTCAGGGCAGTGTTTGAACGTTTTTGCACTTACAACATACGTTTGAACATTGACAAATGCTTATTCGGTGTTACTAGCTTGGTTTTTCTTGGCCACCACATTGACGCCACGGGTAGTTCACCATTACCCGATCGCATTTTGGCTCTAGAGTCATTTCCCATACCCACGACTCTCACCCAACTTCGTCGTTTCATAGGTATAATCAACTACTGCCGGCGATTCATCCCTCACTGTACAGATATTTTGCAGCCACTGACCGATTTTCTTGGCTCCAAAGAAAAATTGGTTACTTTGCCCCCCGCCACCATTGCCGCTTTCGGAAGAGTCAAGCAAGCCATTGCTCAGGCCACAAAGTTATCTTTCCTCGACACGCACGAAAGCTAATTTTGACAACTGATGCTTCGAACGCTGCCGTCGGTGCCGTGCTTCATCAAGCTGTTAACAACGCATCTCAACCACTAGCCTTTTTCTCGCAGAAGATGCAGGCTGCACAAACGCGTTACATTACTTCTGATCGTGAATTACTCGCCATTTACCTTGCTATTCGCCATTTCCGGCACTTATTAGAAGTTAGAACATTTACCATTCAAACCGACCATAAGCCACTTACGTATGCTTTCAACGCCAAGCCTGATCGCTATTTACCACTCGAGATACGTCATCTGGACTATATTTCACAGTTCGCTACCGACATTCGGTACACTCCAGGATCAGACAGTGTCGTCGCAGACGCCCTATCCTGTCCATACATCAACACCCTTCACTCTTCCACGCAGTTGGACCTAGCCAAGCTGGCAAACCTCCAGCATGGTGATCCTCCCTTCTTACACTTCCGTGTTTTTCTCTTCTACACTAACTCAACCCAATCCAAATAATCTCTCCGCAAGTCCCAGCACTAAAACTGACCGTGTATCGCGCTAAATTGCACCTTCTGTATGTCCGACTTGAGTGAAATCCCAGAGACTTCGAAGTCTTTTCAAACCCCCAAATCCAGTCTACTTAGCTGCTTTCAATGTTCACACACTAAAGGAGGCAAGACAACACGTAGATCTTGATCGTCAGGCGGATTTTCTCGGTATCGATGTATCCTATTTGTCAGAAACAATGGTACATGACACAAATGGATGCCTCCCCCGCTCTCTTCTAGGATCTGGCTGTGCATCCTTGGTGATGCAGAGACCACTGCTATTGGATATTCTGGGGTGCGTATTGTATTGAGCGCCCTAGCGGAAGAGTCCCTACGCGATTGGATATCCGTTGATAATGGCATCTCTGTGGTTCGTTTTGCACTGTCTATGAAAGAATCTCTAGAAAATGATGTCCACCGCAACCTGGCTAGAGCGCGAATTTACTGACCGGAAGGTCCATGGTTCGAACCCAACCTCTGCCTCTCGACTTCCCCTGTCTAGGCTTGGGCGACTTGGCAGCATCCAAGCCTTCGTGCTTCCTTTAGGTGGCATGACAGCTAGGCACCGGTATTACAGCTGAACGATTTTTTCTTACGCCCCAACGGGCCATAGCTCTGAATCTGCCAAAGGCAACTTCTATAACACTAGGTGGTCTTTCACAACGGGATAAAAGTTCAGACATCGTTGTGGCTGGTGGTGGCACGAACGCTCAGGTAGGTAATCTGCCAAAGGCAACTTCCATAACACTAGGTGGTCTTTCACAACGGGCTAAAAGTTCAGACATCGTTGTGGTTGGTGGTGGCACGAACGCTCAGGTAGGTAAAGTGAACGCTGCTGAAACCAACTGGGTGGTTGTGTTGAGTTAGATACGAGAAACACGGACGACGGGAATCACCTCCTTCAGATTTATGCCCATCACAGACTGTTCCTTTGCACTGAAATCGCTTGATGGTGTGGCGCCCACCAACAAACTAGCCAGGAAACCAAATTGACCACATCGCCGTCAGTTACCAATGGCGATGGTCGATCACTGTCTGCCACTTTTTCTGGAATACCAGCGTGGACTCCGACCGTGCACTTGTGCGCTGCTGCTTTTCATTGAGCTTTTCAATCCTACGCAAACGTTCACATTTCGCTTGGCCACTGAGAAGCTAGTGAACCCATAAATCAAACGAAACTTTCAGAACCAGCTCCTCAAACACCTGCCGAACGGTCGGATATTAACAGCCACTGGGAAGATATCCAGTGCTACCAGAGGTGGAACTTGTTTTCAGTACAACTCAGTTAACCTCGTCCAAACGTAGGACCTCTGATTGGACCATGACTTTGCTGGAGGCGCGGTAACAGATTCCCCCCTGACCGCAACTACAAATCAGACGCACCGTCCAACCGCAGGCAAAACTGAGGTTCCAGACAGACCGCGAAGCTTGGTGGAGCTGCGAGGCCGAAGACATGGGATAGACTGAAAATGCTGGAAACGTCCGCAAACTGTTCCACTGGTTCTCGGATATCTCTTGCCAGCGAAATAATCAGACCGCAATGGCTCTATGATATCCAGCAAATGAAACGTTTGACCGCTGGGCACAACACTTTGAACAAAACAATTCAGTTGGCCACCTGCTATTTCCTATCCGGACTACCAGCCTTCAACACAAATATAGAACTCCGTTCACCCGCAGAAGTGTCTGAGTGCATTTCCCTACTCGAGAGTCACTGTGCTGCTGGTCCTGGCAACCTTCCACCTGCTCTTTTCAAGGATTGCTGTGGACTCCTCAGCTAGTGTCGGTCTACCCTATTTGGATCTATCTGGGAGAAACAGACCATTCCATTTTCAAGAAGGGGTAGTCGCAGTGAATGTAGTAACTGCAGACGTTAGTTTGAACCTCGTTGTAACAGGGCTTCTGGCGTCACTGATTCTTTGGCGTCTTTCAGTGGAACGCGAATCCTTGGCCTGTGAGCATCGAGTGGGATTTCGACCAAGTAAAAGTTGCGTCGGCCACCACCAGATGTTACAGCAATGCCATATGTACAGGTGACTCAAAATCACTGTTTTCCTTCAGGGGTGCGTTCGATTCTATCGACTGGTCAGGGCTGTTAATCACACTTGCTCAACAGGGTGCCCCAAAATTTCGTGAACATAATCTGGCCCCTATATTTACATACTTCTGGGCGTGTAAGAGTGAATGGTGACCTTTCCAAAAGCTGCCCTACAAAGGTGGTGGCCAATAAGGATGTCCAATCCCTCAATTCTTGTTCAATTTAGTCATTGATAGAATAATGGGGCGAACGCTGAAAGGCTTGAGAAACCCCGGTGTTCAAATTGTTGCTGGTGAGAACCTTGTCGGTCTCATTTTCGAAACGAAGGCGAAGCATAAGCTCCGTTGAATAAAATGACCACCATCATACCATCTTTTGGTACGCGCTTAGCACCTTCAAAGTGCAAAGTCATGCTCCAGAACGTGCATTCTCTCTCTCTCCGTTGCTGTCTTTGGTGATTTAAATCATTCACTACGCTGTCTCACGGCTGCCAATCAACAGTAATCCGGGTTGTCGTATTACTTATTTATCATATGCCGTCTAAACTAATAAACTCTATCAGTGCTCCCATTTCAAGAATGTAACAAGCTCAGCCTAAGCGCACTAGTGAGAACGTTTAACACTAACTAGTAGCAAATTCCAAGAGCGACACCCTTACAAAGGATAAAGACTGTATCGTGGTGAACTAAACCGAGTACCCACACAAACTCATGGCATAACGGTCTGCTGGTCCTCGAGGTTACGGGTAGGATCCGCCAATTTACTTCTTATGACTGAAGCAAATCGACATTTTCCCGCCAAACTACCTCCTCAAAGTCATCTCATTGAGCCGAACCCACAGGTTGAGGGTTCCGATCCATCGTCTTCTTCTCTAGGTCAGAGTAACTAAGTGGCCAATCTGCCTGTGTGAAGTACCGTAGTGAAAGCCGGAGTCAAGCACGGATGTTCCCGTCGACGATGACGACCGTACGAAAGTACCGGTGATCCTGAGTCTGATAGGATAAACAGACGACACTATCAACAAACTTAAGACTGATTGATCATAAAACGCCTCCAAGGACTGCAGTTTCTTCCCAGGGTTATGCGAAATCCCCCAAATGCGCTCAACTCGAATAGCACTGTGTGAGATTCATTGAGCGATGACCAAGTAAACCACTGTTTGATTTTCTTGCACTCTATTTCATGTTCTGCTGAGTTTGATGGGATGTAACCTCTTAAAAAAGCGTACAAAACTCACTTTCAGCCGCTCAGATACATTACGAATACCACAATTATGAGAAACAAACTATGAAAAATCACATACTGATCGCTGTGATTGCTGATTTAGCAACGATCCTAACAGCCCTCTGGCCAGTACCTGTCGACCGAAACAAAGCATCTAGTGAGCGCAGGCCACCTATGCCGGTATTAACTGTCGGACCACACTTCCCCATTGCATTCAGTGTTAGAGCAACTCAGAATGTCAATCGCATCGCTAAATTGCTCCAACAAATCTATCGTCCACAGAACCTCTATTGTATACATGTTGACCGCTCTGCGACATTCGTCTACAATGCAAGTTTGCAGGAAGCTTTAGCGGAATTCGGAGAAAACGTGTTTTTCGTGCCAGATGGAGACCGTGTTGCGATGGACGGTGGGAAGGTGGCTCTGTTGGAGGCCGATTTGGTTTGTGCCAAACTACTGAAGAAACGATCCAGTGAATGGCGTTACTGGATTAACCTATCTGGAGGCGAAATCCCACTGAAGACAAACTGGGAAATCGTGACAGCTCTTCAACTGCTCAACGGATCAAATGCTGTCAGTGCATACATTAGAAAAACGAAGAGTAACCACCCGACACCCCAAAGCTACTTAGACTTGAATGTAAGTGAGATAGTCGTTTTTCTGAACTATTCCTCATTTAGTTAGTAGTCCTTACTTCGCTTCACCATAAGATGGTATGGAGTCTCATTTAAAGCTTAGCGCCGTGACTTTCGGAAGATTCGGATGGGTCACTTAGGAACCGTTGACAAAGCTCAATGTCTCCAGCAGACTTTTAAAATGATTGATGAGCTTCTATGGCACAAGCACCCTGCAAGCTCACCGCCAAGTTTTGCAGTTTTCTTCTAAAATAGGAAAACCTAATAGTACGTCAACCCGCAGACCTTCAGCAGAGTATGTGGTAGCTGCTATGTTTTCATCAGATTCCTTGGCACCATGGTCAACTAAATAGACTCACCCAACGGCTCCTAGAGTACACAGGCGAGTAGTAAAACAGAACATGTCACCTTCGATTCCCTTCGAATATATTGGCAATCTGTTATCGGGATATCTTTTTTTGTTCATCTTATTAAAAAATGTACGCATACGACTGAAACTAGCGTCAGTGAAATAATCTTGCAAAGGAGACCCTGTAAAGGAGAGACTAGTCTCCTACACTTCGAAAAAGTGTCTCTCGTCAGCTACTTTATGTGTAACCCATTCCCCGAAAGGAGATCACACGTCTCATTTCTCCCAGAAGATTGATGCTTAGTAATGATGATAGAATAAGAACACGTTATATGACTTTACAATATGATGTACTTTCTGAGGAGGCCAGTCTAGGAGCTTAACCGATGGGACTCACATTAGCGGACTAAATGAAAGCGTTCTCCTGAATCAGAATTGGCTTCAACAATAAGACAATTGTGCCTAGATATCCGTCAAGCACACAGTATCTACGTTAAGCAGTCACAATTGTCTTGTTTCAGGTCACATGGTACCAGGGCGACGATTCGGTTGCCGTGAGACCGGAGTTTGTCTCCTTCGTTTTACAGAATGACATGGCCACGCTTTTGCTGGACGCATTTCGAGCATATGAAGAAGACTTTGGACCAAACAAAATTAAGGAGGGATACTTTGCAATTCTCAACAACAACCCGTCAGTGTTTGCCATTCCTGGAGCCTTTGCAAACTCTAGGGACCACTTCCAAATAGAAACACCAATTCGCGCCGAGCACCGAATGTGGCACAGGAGACCCTGTCGGAGTCGCTTTTGGCAGAATTCACGCTGCTTATTTGGTGCAATCGATGTGCCATTCTTAAAGAGCCACCCGCACTTCTTTGTCGATAGTCTCGCCCCCAGCTTCACCAAAGAAGCAAGAAATGAACTAGAAAATTGGCATACCGAAAAGCTGCGGCATGAGGCACGGACTGGCAAGCTTCATCCTTCGTTTGACAAAAAATACTACAGCCAGTTGGAGGCGACTAAAATGCACCTTTGAAGTGAACACCAAACAGCCCTGATACGTAATGATCAAACGGACCACAAAGGAGGGGTATCTCGCCCCGGAGTTTTGCAGCATGTTGGGACTAAACGTTTGTTCATTAAATTGTTCTCGTACCTGAATTCACTAACGAATTCGGAATTACTTGAGTCATAACGCAAACCCATGTCGAGGAGGAAACTGGACGCGCTGACTTATTATTTCCCCAAAACATACACAATGTAGGTAACTCCAGATCAAGAAGAATCGATAACCTTGTTTACTGTAACTTATTTCTCAATGATTAAAAATGCCGTTACCGTTTACTTTCGTTAGCTGTTACCAACGTAATATCCTTTACATGACCAGATGAATATACACGACAGACATGAGACTAAAAGCTCCAAACATCTGCCTAAAAGCATTTTACACCGAAACACCCGTGATTAAGTTGGACCAGCGACACCTCAGTGGAGGAAAAACGGAAAATAATATAATAGCTCTTGATATACACTGCAATACACACCGATGACTAAGCTTAATAGTCACGCAAAGTTGCCTAACGTCGCCTTGAACGGAGAACTCGTTGCTTGGATCGAGTGATAGGTGGTGTTCGTAAGGGCAACGAGTATTTCGCTTGTAACTTGCGGGCAAATGCCTCGTCTTGCGCAATCTGTGAATCGAAGGACACAGTAAGCCGAAAACAATGTTAAACTGCATTCTCCAAAAACGGTAAATTCAAATATGAAAATAGTCCTGTGTTAAAAGTCAGTTAACGATTAGGATAGGATTTTCGTCGAAGTGCAAAATCAATCGAGAGTGACGGCTGGAGGCAACAGGAGAGGGCGGAATCTATAATGCCCGGAATATACTTGCAGCTTCCACAAAATTCAGCTGTCAGAGGCCAACAATTTTCAGTTGCAGTATGCAAATGCTGCTCACGTAACTACCAGAAACTCCAATACGATTTAAGAACAGCCGCATTTTGAGCAACTTGCGTCATTCAAACCCTCTAGAAGAAAGAGCTGAGGCTATTTAGCGAGACTGTCACATCCAGACACTGTCGACGAATGGAAATCACCTACCTGAACAACAGTAATGCACGTCGACAGCTTCTGGATCGAGTAAACCTAAAGAAACCAAGCGAATCTTTAATCAACGGCATCACCCACTGTTTAATCAACAGCCGGAGGTGCCTTCGAGTTTTTCGTCAGCCGATCTGTATGCATGGTGATGTTATAAGTTTTTACTTTTTGGGCTCGCAAGTTCTATCATGAACATTCTGATTGGCTGCTCTGATCCAGTGCCTAAATCTCACCCCAATCATGGGGAGTTAGTTAAACTGCAACTCCATGAGACGTACATATATATTGTGCTCCTGGTTTAGCTGACCCACACCTTACCTGAACCTGTTCCTCTGTGGTTGATTCGTCTCACTCAACGTTCTCCATAAGAGCGTTACCACTTTTTACCATCCGTAATGTTTCGCGACTAAGAATCTGTCGTCCTCGCCCGTTTACTCCGTGCATAAGGGTTCCAGGCTGCTTGTAAACAACTCAGACCATAGACAGCGACAAACGCTTCCAATACCGAGCGTTCAATAATTGAAAGCTATTGCTCACAAGAAAGTCTGGAAGAAATTATTTCGATCAATTACGAGACTCGGCAAGAGTTGGTCTGTCTACTCGTATAAGAAGGAAGCTCTTGGATTATTGTGCTCATGTGAATTCACTGAAAAGTCTATGAAATATGCAGTTCAGTTACTCACCGATTAGCCAAGTGCTTAAGGTATGTTTGTTCCAGCTAATACATTTTAGCCGCCAATAAGAGCAGGGTGGATACATTGATAAATGGTATAATCAGTTGGTTGATTCTGAGCCATTCTAGTAGTCAGAAAATACGGGGAACATCAACGCATTGAAGGGGATAGCTATGGTGCAGAAGTGCCACAGACCACGTATTTCAGCCATATCTGCAGGTGTCATGAACGACTGATAAGTGGAGTTCCAAAATCCCATCTAGAAAAGCTGCAGTTGTCAACCTGAATAAGCCTCTGCATTGTCCGCTTCGTGATCGTTTCCACTCATTACGGGACTGGTCCGAAAGAACTCCGCGAAGTACCTTTCCTAACATGCGTAACCTATGAAGCGTGGGCAGCTCATCCATCGCAGGGGAGTTCTTCAGCCTAAAATTATCTGGCAAACCTTATCATTAATAATGACAATAATAATGATAGTCTGCAGCAGCCCCAGAAATTTTGCAGTGGAGCAGTTGGACTAGCCACGAGAAATTCACCGCCTTTGGACAGAACAAGAACTAAGCTGTCTGGCCCCACTGCTTCGCGTGGAAGTAATAAAACTTCTACGGATAAATGTACTTCAAACTACGCTGGATTTCTGCTGCTGATGGTTTTTACGATGGATTCACGTTGGTGTCGTTCCAGAGATTGAGTTGACGGGAACCAGCTGAACTGTTCAAAGTACTCGGTTCATAGCTTCTATCAATTAGCTGATATCCCGTCTTAGAAGTAGATTGTCCGATTAGCATCTGTAATCTGGACCAACTGATCAGTCTAGTTGAAATAGAATTCAGTTGTTTTTTTGTTGCGAAAGCCCTCCACCTTTCTGGGCCTTCGCTATCTATCAGCAACCTCGCTCAAGCCTTAAATCTCCCTAGACTCGGCGTCCGAGAGACCGTCATCGTCAGCTTTAAAAACCGCGTACTTGCCGTACAGTGGTTGTAGCTGCCACCCGTCACTGGCATTAAGAGATGCTGATCAGGACGATAACTATTGCTAACTCGAGAAAAACCGCGTTACTTGCCGTCAGTGGTTGTAGCTGCCACCCGTCACTGGCATTAAGAGATGCTGATCAGGACGATAACTATTGCTAACTCGAGTGTGCAGACGAGCCAAGTGGATAATTGCAACGACGGTTAGCATAGCCTTATTTACTTTTCCGATCGTCCTCCGAAGCATTATGTTTCATCTAATCGGTGTATTTTTCAAGATTTTCAAGATAACCCAGCTCGATACTGTTAGAATACGAGGACTCTTGGGAGTCTAGGGACTGAACAGTCTTGCGTTATATGGTGTACTCCCGACGGAAAGTGGACCGACACGTGTGCTCGTACAGTGCTACGGGCAGAGTCAAGCTGCGTACAAGGTACGTTAGATTTGAATCGGGGCTATTCACCGGTAGCTGGCTGCTACATGGTCAAGCTAAGTCCACAGCTCGTTTGCAGTTGGTGGTCTCCGAGTGCTTGTGGTGAAAGTTTGCGCTGAAAAGAAGCAAGTGACGTTCAGAATATAATTGGATATGTAGCTCTCCGTTATCTGTAAAGTGAGTCTCAACTCCGAATCGACCGTCAAAGTGGGGGTTATATGGACGCAGTCAAAAGAATGCCCGAATCACGATATCTTTGCTTTTCGTTTACCAAGGCAGCCTTGACAAATCTCTTTGGAAGTCATTTCTCGGCCTCTGAGTTGCCGTTTGTTGGGGCATAGGCTGGTACAGCAAACAAAAGTCATTTACCAAGTCGAAATGTACTTCAGGATGGGGTGTTCGTGTACCCCACCCACCCAGCGCTTGGCTGGGAAGTTTCCAAGAAATGGCAGCTAATCGATGACTGTGACATACGTGTTGCCTAACTGCATGCTTGGAGGTTTAGACACCTCACAATGCTTTCGGTAGGCTGGAAGCAGGTCCTTTCCTCATCCCATTTGAAGAGCTCGAACACCTTCAGAAATCTGATGACGGATGTCTGCATAGCAAAGCAGGGTCCAGCCGGCCGTAGCATGAATTCGTCCGTAAACAAGCAGCAGATTATGGGTTGGTTCCCTTGGTCAGCACATAAGGCTTACCAGGTTAAGTTGGTTGAGGTGAGCTACGTAGTCTGGCCACCGTCTGCCAAAGAAAGTCAGGTTTTGCACTCGAAAAACTTACTACTGACCCACAGAGAGCAGGCCAAAAGTGAACGGTCACAGTGAGGCTGAGCGCTATGGGCTATTCGCATCTTCCATCGTGGGGCCTACAAAGTTCACCTTGAGCATATTTGAATACGAAAAACGATCCTAGTGAAGAGCTTGTCACTCTAGCTGGGTCACTTGGCTGGGTTGAGGCTGTGTTGTGTTGAGTGAGGTTTCCAAACGATGTTGGGTCGATCCCGTCGATTGTGCCTGGCCTTAGTATGAAGCTCATATGTATCCACATGAGTGGCTTAGGCACCTTGCAATTAGCCGTCTTCTCTAGGAACATAGGGATTCGCTCAACCCTCATCTTTCTTTCCAATCTTTACCATGACCTCCGTCCTCCTTGGTATTGTATCGATTGAGCAACAAGAATCGCATATGATAAAATCAAAGGAATAAAACTCGCTTGTACTCGATGGCACGTACCTGGCCTTGGGCAGAGAAACTGGAACCATCAGATTCGCACACAGAGGACAGACGGTGAGAATCAATGGAGTAGTCTAATAATGTTCTGTTGGGCTTTGATACGGTGGGCCTGTTTTGACTGGGAGAAATAATCCTCGTCTAAAAGTCATCAGTCAAAGGAATTCGAGATACCGAAGGAGAAGATGAAGACAGAGTTTGACGGGATGAGTCGGGAAAGGGACGGTCTGCCGACAGTGATAACCTATCTTCTTCGAGGAGTTGAAATGCAAGCGCTAAAGAGGCCTCTTCGTTCTTTTGGTCTTCCAGTACCTTCAGCTTCCGAAATTTCTCTACTTCTTTCAAATACTCCGAAAATACTTCTCCTTGTGAGGCAGAGGTCTCGCAATGATCCGTATCTAGGATGAGAATTTGAATGAAGCAGTTCAAACTTACTAGTCAGATCCTTCAGACAGCGCTGCTCGGACTTTGAAAGCATCGGAGAAAGACCAATCTCTTTACCATGATAGTAACGGGGGAACATCTCACGGAGTTGGTTTTCGTGATCTTCGTTCACCAAAGACTTCCGATCCTTCAGTTTGCGTAGCCAGTTGGAAATTCGGCAGCGACAAATCGGACATTGGTAGGCTGTCTTTTCGGCGGCAGAAAGAATGCACTCTTGGCAAAAGACGTGCTTACAAGGTAAAACGGCGGGACGGTACAGAATCCCAAGACAAATAACACAGGTGACTTGGTCGGTCATGAGAACCAGTCCAGCTGGGTGCTTGGTGTCTAAGTGTAACAAATCAAACTATATACCGTTTCACTTGTTTGTTCACTGAAGTGTACAAAGACAAAATTGAAACAAAGTATTAAAACCTACCAAATGAAAAGTTCTGTCCATTGCAAACAAAGTTTGGAACTCTTAACAAACTGATATGAGATATCGAATTCGTACTCTCCGATTGACTACCTGTCAGACCGTTATGGTTAGAGATCGTCCCTCACGTCTAACGGTAAATGTCCAGTAGTTACTGCGAGACTTTTCGCTGTACATGTGTTTTCAGTGTACCGTCTGTAATGCATGAAACCAAACCGCAAAACGGTTTTACTTTTGAGAGGATCGACACCGGTTGTGAGATGACACGGTTACTCGTTATAATCAGCGTTGAGCCTAAATCGTGTTGAACACTAGTATTTTAATGATATACAAGTTAATTACCGAAATAACTCATCTAAGGGGCGACTGAAGAAATCACAGTGCACGCTTCTTGCTTTGAAGCAATGGGAATTTAGCTGTGCCCGTACGTTCCAAATAGCTTTTGCACGTGTCACGGAATATATCGCCCAACCTAGGGCATGTAACATAGTGTTACATTCGTTTTTATGCTTCATAAGAACAAGAAAGCTGAAAACCCATTTTATATTCTACGTTGATGCCCTTTAGCACCCTGTAGACATCAGGGTCAGGCCAACCCCTGGCCTGGCAGAGGAGTACGAAGGAGATCACGAAACGCTTGGGTGCTACTCGTTTTCCAGGATGGGGACCGCGTGATCCTCACTGCGCCTGGTTGGAGACACTGCAACATATGGCTGCCAACCGATGTCAGTGGCGTTCTTGTTGTCAGTTTCTATCCAGATTGCCTGAGTGAATGTCTGGAGGTGTAGGTACCTCGGAATGATTGTGGTAAGCTAGCACTAAGTCCCTTCCCCGTCCACTTTTACTCTTTTCTTTACAATAAGGCTTTCAAATAAATCATGGTTGTGCGGCAGTGAAGCATCGGTGTTGAACACTGATGTCATGCTGCCGATGATGCTGATGATACATCAAAAGAGATTTAAGGAGCGCCTGAGAACTTATATTTTCCGGCACTTCTTTTTCTTAAGAACCACCTACTGCTAGAACGGACTTACGTCCAAGCCACTCAGTTCTAGGAGAACAAATTATTTAAAAGCGGTATTGATGCTTAGTTTGAACGGTGTCGTTCGGAAGCTGAGCGATCATCATCATCTTCAAATGTAAAGACCACGTACAGGTTGCATAGTGTTTGTTCCTGCCAGTGTTATTCAACGATGATCTGAAGAAATATGGGGAAGCAACTGTGTATTGGAGACAAGTGATATAATTGATGCGTAAATACACAGGTGCCAGTGGGCCTTTTATCAGGGGGATCGAAAGGGGAAGTTATGCAATGAAGGCCATAGCTTGGGTGCATGCGCATCACTAGGTCACGTCTACCACTCTCTATAAAAAGTCGTTCAGCTGTAACATTCTTTCGGTGCTTAGTTGCCATGCCACTAATAATGCCTAACCAGGGAGACGGCAACAACCACTGCAGCTAAGCCTACTCGCAATGGCTATCATAGTGCGCTGCGAAGTCCTTGCTTGACATCCCCGGGCTCATTTCCACACGTCGTGTCATTGTGCAAGAAGGGGCCATTCGAGTAAGGTGTAAAACGCATACCAAACAGCGTAGCAATTATTTAGATTGCTTTATATCTCGTGTATTACGATGGCGTCAGAATCACAAAGAGCTATGCGATCTTCTTACTCGATATCAGCAACTGGGTAGGCATACAAGTAGGACAGAGCTCCTAAGAACTCTATGTGTATTGCACCATTCAAAACTACGACCAAAAACAATCGTACTTATATTGCTTAACTCGTTTTTGCTCGAAGGATCAGCGACGTACATGACCTGCTTTTCGGGTGCGATAAATAGATCTAGATAACTAAGCTGGAACAAGGGAATAAAGGCCAGCTTCGCGACCTTATATAGGTCGTTAAACTGTTGCTATGTCTGAGCAGTGAACCTCTGAAACACCTGTGTAAGATCGATTACGTGCAAATCAAGACTGATGCGGGATCGATGGGTGCGCAGCAAATCCGTTTTCAACCGCCTTGTTTCTGGAGTACGGCTTTACTGTCCTTAGTCCTTACATGACGGATCCATCACTCTCAACCTCATTCTCGTTACGGATCCCCTAACATCCTAGTTTTTCCTTCTCTATGGTATGTACTCCATTCCTGCACGCAGCCTTCAAAGTATGTACATCAGAGAAGGAAGACAACTAAGTGGTTTTCTACCTGAATAACACGTAAGTACATGGTTTGCCGCTAGATAACACTTCCTATCTCTATACTCCTGGATGGGATAATCCTTACATCCCTAACCTCGGTTGTTGCTGCAAGCTGCTGCAGCACCACGGGACGATCACTATTCAGCGGACCTGATAGCTATACTCGCCTAATGGTGCTTTTAGTATTGACCGATTTCCATGTAATTGCTTAGTTAGGTTCTTTATCTAAGTCAGCCCGCAACTGCTTTTTTGTGTGCGGCGAAGTTTCAAGCCATAATCAAAGGTAGCATTCACTTCTTAGACGGCTGAGCAAACCACTGTGTTTCTAAAAAAGATAGCAGTTCCGGATATAACCCTTGGAGTGCCGTGCCACCTGCTGTGGTAGAACGCGATAGGACATCTCCATGCGACATTGGGAAGCTTCTCCCAAGAACTCCGATTATTTACTCCATACAATCCAAACTTCACGAACAGAAACCGACGGTTCCGACCTTCGCTAACTGAGGTAACACCATCCACCTTTGGCTTTCAGTTAGTTTACTGGTGATCAAGTCAGCAGCAAAGAGGAGAACACAATACGTATACGCCAAAAATATGCGCCTAACTGCGACAGCCAAAAAAGCTTGGGTTCAGTTCAACTCAGGAAAAGCGGCGATGGCCTGAATTCGTCCGGCTTCTTTATGTGTAAGTCTCCGGAGATCCCAAGATACTGTGACAATATAAAAAACGGTACCCATTTGGTCCCTCCAAAACGGTCAATTCAGAGGGCCAGTGGATCAGTACCTGAGGTAGCTGTTCGGCCACGGTATGATTATCAGCTACACAAAAAATAAGGGGGGTCGCAAGGAAGGATACAAAAGCAAACGGAGTAGGTGACAGTAGGGGGAAAATACCTAAATGACCGGCAAGAAAGTAAGCAGAAGTAGCCCGCCGATCTTAAGAACAGGTTCAGCCCAGTCAAGACTTCGCTTGAACTCTGTGATAGCCCTACTAGATGAGAATTGAGTATGAAGGCAAAAACGACACAAGGATGCTGACAAACACAGCGAAGAGAAGTGCCAGTGACTGAACTTTGGGGATTTACCTCCCCTTTTCTTCAAAATAGGTGCTGTACGTACAGTAGCTATATAGTGGAGTAAGGAACCAAAAATTGGTAGGCCAAGAGCGCCAGGAATCGTGTTCCGGCTCAGAACCTCATGGTAGCTCAAAAGGGGGAAAAGCATGAGCCTTACAACCTGTGTTGATGGGAGGGATGGAGTTATAGTAAGCGGTAAGAACACCCATAACTAATTGTACCTAGACACCGAGAGCAACTTAACATATAGACATGAAAAATAACGGTGTGGGAATATCGACAAAACTAACTGGCGAAAAGACTTCGCTTCAGAGGGGTTTGGTAAACAATCGGTGGGTTTATTACTGGGCAGCGTTTCGCTTTTGACACAAAAGCTTCGTCAGGCCAAGTGAGTAAGTAAGTAGGTTGATTGGGTTTTGGGGGCGAGATGGCCCAAGTGGTTAGAGCGCGAATTTACTGACCGGAAGGTCCGTGGTTCGAATCCGACCTCCACCACTCGACTTCTCCTGTCTAGGCTTGGGCAACCTGGCAGTATCCCAGCCCTCGTGCTTCCTTC